CCCTGAAGCAGAACCAGCTCGCTCAGGCTGAACGTTCAGTAACAGCCATGTGACCAAACACATGAACATCAAGCTGCAGAAAGTGTTGAATGTTTGAAACAAACTTGGTCAGAACATCTCGTCTCAGCTTTCACACGTTTCATTTGGTCTGAACCGAGCGATCCGGTCTACTGAGGCCCAGCAGAAGCTTAGTTCAGGTTGTATGTGTGAACTGCTCTGAACTCAGGAACGTCCTGGAGCTGCTGTTGACCTGCCGTCAGCTGTTTCTGAGGACACACTGTCTCTGGCTGCCTGACAACCAATCACATGCTGCCGCTGCTGCTGGACAACATCCGTCTATGGCGGCTGTTTCAACATGAACGCTTGGACTGGATCTGAGCTGCAGATGTTCAGTCAGTCCTCCAGAGTGTCAGTACTCCGACCAGCTCACGCTCCACTTGACCCGACGACCCGACGGCACACACACCTGCAGCTACATACCGAAACTCTGCACCTGGATTTATCCAGAAGCTTCAACTACCTGTCAGAGCAGCCTGAGGACCAAGATCTACGATATGTACCCACAACAAACCACAGAGACACAAGAGACACAAAAGGACTCCAAAGAATCTCAGTGACAAGCAGAGATCAGGTTTTATTTCAAATCGCTGTGATGCTTCTGAACACCAGAGGAAATGTTTTATATGACAGACATGTAGACCAGAGAACAGGTGCATTATGGGTAGAGAACAGTCCGCAGCTGCCTCAGTGACTGGTGGGGACATGACAGGTAGTGTCTGTTGTCGTGGTAACAGGAAGAGGCGGGACCATCTTTGACCTGAAACACAAACAGGAAATGGAGTCAAAATGAAGTGCAGCAAACGGCCCCGCCCCCCGATGACATCACTGACTGACACCTACTGCAGCTCTGAGGCCGACGCCCACCCCTGATGTCGTCGCCCCCTGGGAGAACGTCGTGATCTGATTGGCTCCCCTGGCACTCTGTAGGATACAGACAAGTGTCCTTCATTCTGCCTTCACCTCCTCCCTAATTCCTTCCTTCCTTCCTTTCTTCCTTCCTTTCTTCCTTACCTCACTTCCTTATAAGGTATTTCCTCCGTCTGTCTGTCAGTCACACCATCAGGCTCCACCAGCTGCTTCCTGTTACACATCCAATCACCATTGGAAGGCTGGAATACTGTGTACTGTGTACAGAGTACTGCATATACAGTGTGTACTATGTGTACTGTGTACAGAGTACTGCATATACAGTGTGTACCATGTGTACTATGTACTGTGTACAGAGTACTGCGTATACAATGTGTACTATGTGTACTGTGTGTAGAGTACTGCGTACAAATTGTGTACTATGTGTACTGTGTACAGAGTACTGCATATATAGCCTGTACTAAGTGTACTGTGTCTTAACTCACTGGATGTGTTTCCATGTGCGGGCGTCCGGACTGTGTCTACAAAGACACAGCATTAACGTTAGCATTAGCCACTGATAGCTGACAGGCTGACGGTACAGGTTGCAGTATCAGCATTCTGGTATAATCTACTGAAATTTAAATTGTTAGCATTAGCATTAGCAGGGTGTTGTCCTTACGATGTGGCACGGCAGCGGGAGGTGGAGTCAGGGCCCCCGTCACCATGGCGACCTCTAGATGGAAACAGAAAGTAATTGTAGAATTTACAGACAGGAAGTCAACAACGGTGCGTCACACTTTGATTACCGGCTCTTTGTTCTCCGTCTCCGCCGCTCGCTGTTACTCTTCTCTGATTCGCTGCCGCTGCTTGTGTTGCCACGGGAACGAGTCCTGCTGGTCAAAGTCAAACATCTGTATTAAACGTTTTCACCGCTTACAGTCTCAGCTGCTGTTTAACAATGAAAACAGGAGTCACCTTCTCCTCTGCGCTCTGATTGGTCGATCTCCATCTAGACTTCTGCTGCGCCTGAAACACAAACAGAGATCAGCTGACCATCTGGTGATGACTCACCTGTCCGTCTGTCTGTCTCACCTCTGGGGTCGCCAACCATCTTGTTCTTCTTCTTTGGTGTTTGGAGGAAACTTTGGGTTGAACAGGCCACTGGAACAACCACCAGTAATCAGATTACACACAGTAATCAGATTACATTAATACACATGCAGGTCATTTCTAGCTGTGGTGATGATTCCCATCATATTGGTTGTTGTACCTCGTGGCGCCGCTGTTCTCCCATGGTGCACTGGGCCTCCCCTGGTCGAGCTCAGCCCTGCCCCCAGACCTGCAGGCACAGGACAAACTGCATCACATGATCTATTATGTGATCCACCACATGATCCACCACATGATCCACCACATGATCCA